GTGTGGTGTAAATATTATGCAGAAAATTCGGAGTGTGGAAATTAGGAGAAGGTGTGGAGTTAATAAAAGCATTAGTCAGAGGGCAGAAGAGGGGTTGTTGAGGTGGTTTGGTCATTTAGAGAGAATGGATCAAAGTAGAATGACATGGAAAGCATATAAATCTATAGGGGAAGGAAGGAGGGGTAGGGGTCCTCCTCGAAAGGGTTGGAAAGAGGGGGTAAAGGAGGTTTTGTGGGCTAGGGGCTTGGACTTCCAGCAAGCGTGCATGAGCGTGTTAGATAGGAGTGAATGGAGGCGAATGATATTTGGGACCTGACGATCTGTTGGAGTGTGAGCAGGGTAATATTTAGTGAAGGGATTCAGGGAAACCGGTTATGTTCATATAGTCGGACTTGAGTCCTGGAAATGGGAAGTACAATGCCTGCACTTTAAAGGAGGGGTTTGGGATATTGGCAGTTTGGAGGGATATGTTGTGTATCTTTATATGTATATGCTTCTAAGCTGTTGTGTTCTGAGCACCTCTGCAAAAGCAGTGATATAATGTGTGAGTGTGGTGAAAGTGTTGAATGATGATGAAAGTATTTTCTTTTTGGGGATTTTCTTTCTTTTTTGGGTCACCCTGCCTCGGTGGGAGACGGCCGACTTGTTGAAAAAAAAAAAAACTAATAACATTTAATAATAATAATAATAATGCATGTTATTAGTAATATGTATTATTATTATTTATAACATGTTATTAAATACCACTGCCTCAACTGCTGCCTCTACCATTGCCTCAACTGCTGCCTCTACCAGTGCCTCAACTGCTGCCTCTACCAGTGCCTCAACCGCTGCCTCACCCACTACCTCAACCACTGCCTCACCCACTGCCTCAACTGCTGCCTCACCCACTGCCTCACCCACTGTTTCACCCACTGTTTCACCCACTACCTAACCCACTGCCTCAACTGCTGCTCACCCACTGCCTCAACCGCTGCCTCACCCACTGCCTCACCCACTGCCTCACCCACTGCCTCAACTGCTTCCCCAACCACTGCCTCTACCACTCCAGTCGCACTCAATCTACAAGCATCAAACACAATGAATTATTGTGAAATGTTTGGAAGAGCAAGGAGACTAATGCTCACTCCAGCATAAACAAAGCCACACTGACGATGTGTCAACCACTCCTTCGTATTTTTGTACAATTTCCTTCTTCAGTTCTATCGTATTTATTATTGTTATTATTATTATTATTATTATTATTATTATTATTATTATTACTACTACTATTGTTATTATTAGGAGTAGCAGAAATGTTTGATTCTTTGCTGTGTTCAAGAGTCAACACATGATGTCACCGTCCAATACCTGTCCGAATAGTCTTTCCAATATGCAATCATGAATGGGTTTACATTATTTATACTGTAGTTTAATAGCAAATAATGAACAAACAAAACACTCACCACACTGGTGGGAGGGCTGGCTGCCAGTTGGGGGGGTCGGAGGGAGGGTAGTAGGGACTCGCAGGTGGCAGGAAACTTAAATATGATTTGGCGGCTGGGAATTTGGAGGCTGGGTTTTTGGCGGTTGGTAATTCGCGAATGTGTGAAGCCCGCGGAAGTTGAAAACGTGAATGTTGAGGGAGACCTGTAGGTAGTAAGTTACTAAATGCTGTAAAGAGTTTTTATGAGGATAGTGAGACTCAGGTTAGGTTGTGTAGGAGAGGAGATTACTTACCAGTAAAAGTAGGTCTTAAACAGGGATGTGTAATGTCATCATGATTGTTTAATATATTTATAGATGGGGTTGTGAAGGAGGTAAATACTAGGGTGTTGGGGAGAGGGGTGAGATTAAATTATGGGGAATCAAATACAAAATGGGAGTTGACATTGTTACTTTTTGCTGATGATGCTGTGCTTATGGGAGATACTAAAGAAAAGTTGCAAAGGTTATTGGACGAGTTTGGGAGGGTGTGTAAAGGTAGAAAGTTGAAAGTGAACATAGATAAGAGTAAGGTGATGAGGGTATCAAATGATTTAGATAAAGAAAAATGGATATCATGTTGGAGAGAGGGAGTATGGAAGAAGTGAATGTTTTCAGATATTTGGGAGTTGATGTGTCAGTGGGTGGGTTTATGGAGGATGAGGTTAACCATAGAATTGATGAAGGAAAAATGGAGTGGTGCACTGAGGTATATATGGAGACAAAAAACATTATCTATGGAGGCAAAGAAGGGAATGTATGAAAGTATAGTGGTACCAACACTCTTATAAGAGTGTGAAGCTTGGGTTGTAAATGCTGCAGTGAGGAGGCAGTGGAGATGTCCTGTCTAAGGGCAATGTGTGGTGTAAATATCATGTAGAGAATTTGAAGTGTGGAAATTAGGAGAAGGTGTGGAGTTAATAAAAGTATTAGTCAGAGGGCTGAAGAGGGGTTGTTGAGGTGGTTTGGTCATTTAGAGAGAATGAGTCAAAGTAGAATGACATGGAGAGCGTATAAATGTGTAGTGGAAGGAAAGCGTGGTAGGGGTTGTCCTCGAAAAGGTTGGAGGGAGAGGGTAAAGGAGGTTTTGTGGGTGAGGGGCTTGGACTTCCAGCAAGCGTGTGTGAGCGTGTTAGATAGGAGTGAATGGAGACGAATGGGTTTTGGGACCTGACGAGGTGTTGGAGTGTGAGCAGGGTAATATTTAGTGAAGGGATTCAGGGAAACCAGTTATTTTTATATAGTCAGACTTGAGTACTGGAAATGGGAAGTACAATGCCTGCACTTTAAAGGAGGGGTTTGGGATATTGGCAGTTTGGAGGGAAATATTATGCAGTGGACCATCGGCTAACGATATTAATCTGTTCCCGAGAGCTCATTGTTAGACGAAATTATCGTTAGCCGAAATAATTTTCCCCATAAGAAATACAGTGGACCCTCGCATAACGATCACCTCCGAATGCGACCAATTATGTAAGTGTATTTATGTAAGTGCGTTTGTACGTGTATGTTTGGGGGTCTGAAATGGACTAATCTACTTCACAATATTCCTTATGGGAACAAATTCGGTCAGTACTGGCACCTGAACATACTTCTGGAGTGAAAAAATATCGTTAACCAGGGGTCCACTGTAATGGAAATCCAATTAATTCTTTCCAGACAGCCAAAAATATTAAAAAAAATTTATTTTTTTTATGAAGTATACATTTCCCTACACAGAAAACAGTGAGACATGCACACTAACTATATAAATAAATGTGAAAATGACACTTACTTTTATTGAAGAGTATTGATGAGTGATGAGACACTGTTTTTCTTAAACACTCTGGGATTTTCAGAGAGTTACATGAGTAAAGGCTTCACTTTGCAATCCCCACTAGCATTACAACAAAACAAGAAAGTTAGCTTGTCTTTCATAGGCTTGTGTCCTAGGAGTGCCTTTATCTCCTGAGTAATGTAGGTCCTGTTTGGCATTTTCTTCCAGAACAAGCCTGTTTCGTCACAATTGAACACTTGTTGGGGTTGGAATTTTTCAGCTTCGCCATGCCTTATCACACTGTGTATGCCACTACAATTCTTAAATCTCTCAAACCTATCTTTGCTGGCCTTAAATTCACCAATGTGAGCACTAGTTCCAGTCATTTTTTCCTGTTCACCTGGGTGTTAGTCGACTGGTGTGGGCCGCATCCTGGGGGACAAGATTAAGGACCCCAATGGAGATAAATTAGACAGTCCTTGATGACTCACTGACTTTCTTGGGTTATCCTGGGTGGCTAACCCTCTGGGGTTAATTGTTTCTTGGTAATTGTTTCTCGTTAAGTCACACCAACAACAGTCTCCACATTTTCGAGTAGTACAGGTGATGGTGATGCAGCAACAGCTGACGGTGGTGCAGCAACAGCTGACCGTGGTATGATAGTATTTCATTAGTATTTCTCACCCTTTTTACCACAGGGTTGGCACTAGAAGTTTTCTTTGGGCCCATGGTGGCTTATTTAGCCGTTACAAGCACTCTAAACAATGGAATAATACAAAATGTATCGAATGTATGCATGAAACCGGCCACCCTGGCTTGTAAACAATGACGGTAGAGCAGCTGAGGCGCTCAGGCTGGACGGACAGGTTTGGGATGAATCATATTGGGCGAGTTTTTTATTGTTAGCCAGGCCAAAATTTTTATGCTCAAATGCTTCGTTGGGCGGATTTAATGTTATGACGATGCGTTCGTTAGCCGAGGGTCCACTGTATATCTTTATATATGCTTCTAAACTGTTGTATCTGGGCACCTCTGCAGACAGTGATTATGTATGAGTGAGGTGAAAGTGTTGAATGATGATGAAAGTATTTTCTTTTTGGGGATTTTCTTTCTTTTTGGGGCACCCTGCCTCGGTGGATGACGGCCGACTTGTTGAAAAAAAAAAAAAACTTCCATTCTGTCAAATGAGATCAAGAAACCGAGGATACAACCATAAAAACCATATGAAAATACATTGCAAAGTAGCTGTTTTAAACCAAAAATAGTCAGTTTTTTTTTTCTTGTTATGCACTGTGCTGCAGGATTTTTTTTTTATATGGCACACACTTATTGTATAGACACATTCTCTTGTATCTAGACCCAGATTTACTGCTCACAGCTTATCTGTACGAGCTGAACTCATGGCATTGCTCTACGGGACCAACACTGGCTGCAAAGCCATGGTACAACGGGACCGACCCTGAAAGGGTTAATTTGCTTAGTACATAAATTTTAAGAAGGTTGGTTGCTCTGTTAGTTCTCATGCAAAATAAAAAAAAATACGTAACTTTATTTAATTTTACAATTAACCCAAAATTTGGGTATGAAAGTTTAGACAACAATTGAGTCCACTTTAAACAATTATGTGAGTGAGAGAAAAAGGGAGAAAGCCACAAGGCAGAGTGGCTGAAGAAATGAGCTTTTCTGTGCATTTCTTACACTCCATAAAATTGTACACTTGTATATTATTTCATATAATTGAAGACACTTCATCAATTGATGATTCTTAAACTATTTCAAGGTGTCGCCCACATGTTTCTGGTCGTCGTTGTGACATTCCTGAAGAAGGCTACTATGTTGCAACATTGAACTACCTCACTTACGAAGCTGAACTTGCAAGAGGATCTGAGGTTAGTTGATTAAATTGATAAATTTTACAAATGCGCAGATACTAAATATGTGATATACAGTAGACTGTCATTTAACACGGTAGGTATGGTCCTGAAAACTCTGTGTTAGACAAAACCGAGTTAGATAAACTGAAGAACTTATGGGAAAAATAGGGTTAAGTTCCTGGAAGTCCCCAAAAAGCCAAACAACTTTTTTTTTAGACCAACAGATCTTACAAAATAAAAGTGAATATGTAATTGTAGTGCATTGTTGTGATATATTACTGCTTAAGACTACAAATGCAATAGAAATACGTAATAGTATTTCTTACCTTAAATTGTGGGTAATGGTGTATGTGGATGATTGTGAAGATAGTGGATATGGATGGTGTGGCCCCTACTGGGCTGAGGTGGATGGTTGTTGGTTGTCGGCAGAAGTGGATGGTAGAGGTTCTGGTACTGAAGTCGATGGTTGTATTGGAGTGTGCATAAATTCTGTAATGGATCTCTGGGCTCTTTTACCCTGCAGTACATTATGCAGCTAACGGTAAGGCATCATCAGCTGGTCTAGACCCCATTTCAAAGCGCTTCTAGATTTGTCAGGGTCCTCTTTGGTGAAAAGTCTGCTAGCTTAGCAGCAGCATGGAACTGCTCACATAACTGCTGCAATTTTTACTATTTTTCTTCAGGTTCTTCTTCATCTTCTTTTGTTATCTCCCTCCCTTATATCTGTGCATCGAGCTCTGCTAACATTTCCTCTGGACTCCTGTCTTCATCATCATTATCTTCTAAGAGCTCATTCACATCTTCATTCATATCTTCAAAACCATCACCTGGTAATCTCCTTGCCAGCTGAACAACTTCTTGAATTTGACTCTCAGGCAAGGGAAAACCAGTGAAAGAATTACCTACAGAAGGACATAACTTTCCCCAGCCTGCATTTAAGGTTGATTGGGGCACTTCATTCCATGCACTTCTAGCATAGCTGATGGCATCTGCAATGTTAAATTTATTCCAGAAACTTGGTACTGCCGGGTTGGAGTCAGAGTCCATTGGTGCAGCTAGTTTTTTTATGACTTTTTTGTGTAGTTACAATTGAATGACTTAATAACTCCCCGATTCAGTGGTTGTATTAGAGATGTTGTATTTGGAGGTAAAAATACAACTTTTACATAAGGGGTCACATCCAGCAAAGCTTGTGGATGAGTATATGAATTATCAAGAATGAAGAGAGCCTTGAAAGCAAGGTTCTTGATGTGAAGGTAAAACTTGACTTCATGAATACAGTAATGCTTAAACCAGTCAATCAATAGTATTTCCTCTGTCATCTATGCTGACTGGTTTGACCTCCAAATTACCTATCAAAGCATGAGGATTCTTAGAGCGGTAAATAACCATGGGCTTACACTTGATATCATCTGACACATTACCACAAAGGAACAAGGTGGAGCGATCCTTTGCTGTCTTGAAGCCTGGTGCACTTTTCTCTTGCTGAGTGATATAAGTTCGTGATGGCATTTTTTTTCCCAAAAAATTCTCGTCTCGTCAGCATCATACACTTGATGTGGCTCATAGCCACCTTCAGAAATAATTTCCTGCAATTCAGCAGGGAAATTACTTGCTGCTGTATGATCAGCTGAAGCACTTTCACCAGAAAACTTATTATTATGTAACTTATTATGCAACTTAAAGTTGTGGAACCAGCCTGTGCTAAACACACACTCTTTTTCAGGCCTTCCTTATCACACACTGCTATAAACAACTACAAGCTTGTACATTCGCCTCTTTCTTTTTAATTGTACTAACTGACGCTTCATTAAAGCCATAGGCCCTCACTATATCCACCACACATGAGCCACTCTTAAGCTTATCAAGTATCATGATTTTCTTCGTAATTCCTAGACTTGAACGCTTAAACCTTTTCTTGTCACTTGCGGGAACACTTATATGCTTACTGGGTGCCATGATTGCTTGGCAGATTTAACAAATGACAATGAAAATAAGGAAATATGTATGTAAATAAACATGAGCTTTCAGAGTATCGTTGTCCTACACGCATATGAACCGAACTGAAGGGGAGGGTGTGGCTGGCGGGGGACAGCGGTGGGTCTCTCCCGCCATTGCGCAGGGGAGACCCGGTCGCCTGCTGGGCGACCAAGCTCTCAAAATTTTTTCCCCTCCCTCAACCGCAGCTGTTTTAAACTAATTTTACGAAGTGTTAAACAAAAATATGCTGCAATTCTTCGGTCGTGCTATATACAAAACATGCAAGACAAAACCGTGTTAAACGATGGTCTACTATAATAGTATATTTTTATTTTAAGACACTTAAATTTTAATGTTTAAGTTAGTTACTGTATTTCATATATTCTTAGTTATATAAACTGAACCAGTATTAAAGTGGTTTAATGTTTAGTTTACTGCAGAAAACATGGAAATGACTGGTATTTTAGAATGATATTGTAGGTAACTTCGAGAAAATCCGCATTAGCATATTTAATTGTGAGGAGAGATTTTGAAAAAGAGTTGTGAAATGTGGCAAATTTGAGCTTAATTTGTTTTAAATATAAATTAAGCAGTTTACATCAAACAAAAGTTAATAAATACTTTTTCAGTTTAATGGTAAGTTTGTATGTAATTAAGTTGACAGGACTAATTAGTATTTTTATTGGTCCACTGTAATAGTAGTATATGCTTAGTGATCAACTATGTTTTGACAAAAATGTATTGAAGCTTTGATTAAAAGTTAGAAATTGTTAACTTCCCATAGAATTCTTCTTCTCTTGTGTTGCTAGAGTTATACTACAAAAGTGATGTCATAAGGTGAATGAATCCAAAAGCTCTACTTGAAAATTGTTGAACACTAGAAATGATTTTCTAAGATGTACAGTGGAACCTCAAATATCGAACTTTCTTCAGTCCAGAAGGCTGTTCAAGTGCCTTTACCGAATGAATTTATTCCCATCAGGAATAATGTAAATTAGATTAGTCCATTTCAGACCCTCAAAAATACACTTATAAAAGCACTTACAAAAATACACTTACATAATTGATCGTGTTGGGAGCAGTTCGATTTTTGAGGTTCCACTGTACAGTAATACAGTAAACTTTGATGGATATGAATATAATAAAACAGGTTATGCAAAATATATATATAACTCATCATGCCACTATAACCTTTTTACTCTGGTCATGCAAGAACATTAATTTGTTACATGATAAGTATACTGGTGATTGGTAGTATCTGTGAAATGCAGATTGCTTTTTAGACTGGGGCAATTTCTTATTACCCTCTTTGTTTGTATAATCAGTGGCAGACACCAAAAAAAAAAAACTATTTAATAATTTTATCAGCTAATGTTTATTACAGCTTTATTGTGAAGAGGCGAGTCTGTATGACTTCAGAAAATCCAGTGGAAGTGTATGTATTTAGTTCTTTAGTCCAGGATTGTTGTGGTGTTGGTGTTTGTGCTTGCCACTTAACCCATGGAAGGAGGGAGAGAAAAGAGATCATGGTAAATTGGCTACAGCACTAGTACTGGGATAATGCTTTAATACTAGGCAAGTCTGCAAAATAAACTAATGGATACTTTACAAGTCATTTACAGCATTAATGAAATGATTTTTTCACTCCAGGATGATCAATCATTTCCTTGCAAGACTAAGGACAAAAATTTGGTTTAATACAGGGATACTCATCTTATTTTTTCAGTCAACATATGTTAATGACTGAGAAAGAAGCCATGCAATATACACTTTATAAATTTTATAAAATTAATGGAAGGTATTCAGTACCAAAAGTTTATACAGTAGGGCCCCACTTATATGGCAGGTTAGGTTCCAGGCCTTTGCCGGAAATCAGACATCGCCAAAAAGCAGAACACCATTTTTTCCGTTTATAAATGCATATAAATGTTTACGTTAACTTTTTTTTTCTTTTTTTTCAAGGAGTCGGCTGTCTCCCACCGAGGCAGGGTGACCCAAAAAAAGAAAGAAAATCCCCAAAAAGAAAATACTTTCATCATCATTCAACACTTTCACCACACTCACACATTATCACTGTTTTTGCAGAGGTGCTCAGAATACAACAGTTCAGAAGCATATACATATAAAGATACACGACATATCCCTCCAAACTGCCAATATCCCAAACCCCTCCTTTAAAGTGCAGGCATTGTACTTCCCATTTCCAGGACTCAAGTCCGACTATATGAAAATAACCGGTTTCCCTGAATCCCTTCACTAAATATTACCCTGCTCACACTCCAACAGATCGTCAGGTCCCAAGTACCATTCGTCTCCATTCACTCCTATCTAACACGCTCATGCACGCTTGCTGGAAGTCCAAGCCCCTCGCCCACAAAACCTCCTTTACCCCCTCTCTCCAACCCTTTCGAGGACGACCCCTACCCTGCCTTCCTTCCCCTATAGATTTATATGCTTTCCATGTCATTCTACTTTGATCCATTCTCTCTAAATGACCAAACCACCTCAACAACCCCTCTTCTGCCCTCTGACTAATACTTTTATTAACTCCACACCTTTTCCTAATTTCCACACTCCGAATTTTCTGCATAATATTTACACCACACATTGCCCTTAAACAGGACATCTCCACTGCCTCCAACCGTCTCCTCGCTGCTGCATTTACCACCCAAGCTTCACACCCATATAAGAGTGTTGGTACTACTGTACTTTCATACATTCCCTTCTTTGCCTCCATAGATAACGTTTTTTGACTCCACATATACCTCAACGCACCACTCACTTTTTTTCCCTCATCTATTCTATGATTAACCTCATCCTTCATAAATCCATCCGCCGACACGTCAACCCCCAAGTATCTGAAAACATTCACTTCTTCCATACTCCTCCTCCCCAATTTGATATCCAATTTTTCTTTATCTAAATCATTTGATACCCTCATCACCTTACTCTTTTCTATGTTCACTTTCAACTTTCTACCTTTACACACATTCCCAAACTCATCCACTAACCTTTGCAGTTTTTCTTTAGAATCTCCCATAAGCACAGTATCATCAGCAAAAAGTAACTGTGTCAATTCCCATTTTGAATTTGATTCCCCAAAATTTAATCCCACCCCTCTCCCGAACACCCTATATTATATTATATTAAATTAACAATAGAACTAGGCATTAAAAACACAATAAAAAGTATAATACATACACAGTACATTCATTACTTACCTTAAAATATCTGTAGTCTTAATGTAGAGTGAGAGGCGAGTAGTACTTATTTGTAGGAAGTCAGGTGTAGGTATCCCTGGCTCCCCGTCTCATACTTAACTCTTTCAGGGTCCAGAGGCCAAATTTCAAAGTGTGGACCAGGGTCCAAGAATTTTCAAAAAATAATTTTGTTATTTTTTCTTATGAAATGGTAGAGAATTTTTTTTCTGAAGGTAATAAAACAAAAAGTACGAAATTTGATGAAAAATTGACAAAATTATGCTCTCACAAATTTTGGTGTGTTGGCGATATTTACGCATCGGTGATTTTGCCGACTTTGACTCCCATTTTAGGCCAATTACAGTATACAAGTCAACCAAATTCTTAGCTATTTCACTAGTATTACTTCTGTTCTATCGATTGAGCACAAGAAATCGCCAAGTCAACTGTGTCAACAAGAAAATAGTGACCTGAAATTGGTAATTTGGCCAATTTAATGCAAAGTTCAAAATATTCCAATATCAAAATAGGGTCCAGAATAAACAATGCAGGCATTCCTGGCACTAAACTAACATTTCCTCTGTTCATTAGTTACGTTTTCAGGTCTTACAAATGAATTCCATTTTTATTTTTTATTCACATAATGAATTTTTATTCAAACCAAAAGATAGAAGATTTACTGTTATGCAATACTGTAATAATTGTATAAATAATGTCAGCACATTTGTGAACATATATTAGACCCACCAGCTGGCATGTATTAACTTGTGAAGTCATTTGTTTACTCTTGAACATCGGCAAAAATTTAACATTTCTGCCACTTTGAGCTCAGTTTCAAGCCATTTCAAGTACTAAAACCATTCAAATTCATCTGCATTTCTGTAGTATATCTTCCATTCTATCAAATGAGACCAAGAAATTGCAAATACAAATAAAAAAAACATGCGAAAAAACACTGCAAAGTCACTGTTTTAATCGAAAATTACAGTCTCAGTTTTTTTCTCTCATTATGCACTGTGTGCTGCAGGATTTGTTTTATGTGGTGCACACATACCACATAGATGTATTCTCTCATATCTAGGCCCATATTTACTGCTCACAGCTTTTCAGAGTGAGCTGAGCTCATGGCGTAGATCTACGGCTTGGACCCTGAACGTAAAGCCGTAGATCTACAGCACGGACCCTGAAAGGGTTAATAAACGATATTTAAAGCAGCTCAGAGAGATAAAATACACATACAGTACACTCATTATTTACCTTAAAATATGTGAAGTCTTAATGTACGATGAGAGGTGAGTAGTACTTATTTGTAGGAAGTCAATGTAGGTAGCCAGTAGATGTAGGTAGCCAGTAGGTAGCCTGGGCTACATAGCTATATGATATTTAATGTGCCTAGAGCCATATTATTACTAATGACATACCTTGTTCACTGAATTTAATCATTTCTAACAATTTTAGATACCATCATAAACGAAGGGAGAAATAATGAATAATTCTTGCCGAGATATTGCTGGGATATTGGCAGTTTGGAGGGATATGTTGTGTATCTTTATACGTATGTGCTTCTAAACTGTTGTATTCTGAGCACCTCTGCAAAAACAGTGATTATGTGTGAGTGTGGTGAAAGTGTTGAATGATGATGAAAGCATTTTCTTTTGGGGGATTTTCTTTCTTTTTTTGGGTCACCCTGCCTCAGTGGGAGACGGCCGACTTGTTGAAAAAAAAAAAATTGTGAACAAAAGCAGAGTGGGGGAGTGACTAGACCAAACACAGATTCATACACGTTTTCTTTGGTGGACCAGAGGAAACGTAATGTTTTCCCTCCGCCTGGCATATAAACATAGCATGTTTATATGCTATGTAACTTGTTTCTTATATAATTTTGAAGAAAATATCATAGATGGATTAATGAAAACGTCTATACGTATTGACATAAAATAAGGCATTTAATGTACCCAAGAGTGATTATTATTATGTAGTATTACTATATGTAGTAGGTTGGTAGACAGCAACCACCCAGGGAAGTACTACCGTCCTGCCAGATGACTGTGAAACAGAAACCTGTAACTGTTTTGCATGATGGTAGGATTGCTGGTTTCTTTTTCTGTCTCATAAACACACTAGATAACAGGGATATCTTGCTACTCCTACTTACACTTTGGTCACGCTTCACAGACACGCCACATGCATATATATATACATACATCTAGGTTTTTCTCCTTTTTCTACATAGCTCTTGTTCTTCTTTATTTCTTCTATTGCCCATGGGGAAGTGGAAAAGAATCTTTCCTCCGTAAGCCATGCTTGTTGTATGAGGCGACTAAAATGCCGGGAGCAATGGGCTAGTAACCCCTTCTCCTGTAGACATTTACTAAAAAAGAGAAGAAGAAAAACTTTATAAAACTGGGATGCTTGAATGTGCGTGGATGTAGTGCGGATGACAAGAAACAGATGATTGCTGATGTTATGAATGAAAAGAAGTTGGATGTCCTGGCCCTAAGCGAAACAAAGCTGAAGGGGGTAGGGGAGTTTCAGTGGGGGGAAATAAATGGGATTAAATCTGGAGTATCTGAGAGAGTTAGAGCAAAGGAAGGGGTAGCAGTAATGTTGAATGATAAGTTATGGAAGGAATATGAATGTGTAAATGCAAGAATTATGTGGATTAAAGTAAAGGTTGGATGCGAGAAGTGGGTAATAATAAGCGTGTATGCACCTGGAGAAGAGAGGAATGCAGAGGAGAGAGAGAGATTTTGGGAGAAGTTAAGTGAATGTATAGGAACCTTTGAACCAAGTGAGAGAGTAATTGTGGTAGGGGACCTGAATGCTAAAGTAGGAGAAACTTTTAGAGAGGGTGTGGTAGGTAAGTTTGGGGTGCCAGGTGTAAATGATAATGGGAGCCCTTTGATTGAACTTTGTATAGAAAGGGGTTTAGTTATAGGTAATACATATTTTAAGAAAAAGAGGATAAATAAGTATACAAGATATGATGTAGGACGAAATGACAGTAGTTTGTTGGATTATGTATTGGTAGATAAAAGACTGTTGAGTAGACTTAAGGATGTACATGTTTATAGAGGGGCCACAGATATATCAGATCACTTTCTAGTTGTAGCTACACTGAGAGTAAAAGGTAGATGGGATACAAGGAGAATAGAAGCATCAGGGAAGAGAGAGGTAAAGGTTTATAAACTAAAAGAGGAGGCAGTTAGGGTAAGATATAAACAGCTATTGGAGG